TGGGGGCCCTAACTAGAAATTATGTTAGGGCCCCCTCCTTTGGTTTTCTAAACTTCTAGTGAGATGACAGAAGGAATTTTTCGATTTAAAGCTTTCGTGACTGCAATGATTCATCTTCTTTGGTTCTTTCGGTAAAGTCACGTAGAATGAGAATAAAATAATAAATTGATAAAATAAAATAACACAATAATATTCTCACGACGTTTCGGCCACAACACAAGCGGCCTTCATCAGGTGAAGGGAGCGAGACTGTCTGGTAGGATTCCACTCCAGCGCTATCCTACCAGACAGTCTCGCTCCCTTCACCTGATGAAGGCCGCTTGTGTTGTGGCCGAAACGTCGTGAGAATATTATTGTGTTATTTTATTTTATCAATTTATTATTTTATTCTCATTCTACGTGACTTTACCGAAAGAACCAAAGAAGATGACAGAAGGAGATTTAGAGAAAATATGGAGATGTAATGAGATGACAGGAGAGATGCAAATAATACAGATGTAATGAAATGAGAGAGTTGTAGGCAAGAGTTAGAGATGAGGACAGATTCATCCGATTATGTTAATTTCCTTTGTTAAGTTTGTTAGGATTTGAATTGGAGATTGGGACAAGCCGATTGCTTCATGGATCCAGGGCCTCCTGAGTTATTTGGAGCCCAAAGCTTTTGCTGGTTTTCTTTTAACTAGAGCCACCACTTACGAATCGAGAGCAGTAGCTAACTATTGGCCAACTTACTCCACCCACAGTGTGCGCTGCTGTGGTGATGAATGTTGTGAAGATGCAAAATTCTGTGTAGGAGAATATACAGATGTTTACTTTGGTACAGCAGCTGTGATTTTAGCCAATCGAGGATGATAAAGCTATGTTTTTAATTTAACAGTCTCATATAAGCCGGCGGGTCAGCAAATCCCTGACTCAAGTCTGGCTTGATTTATATATCCGATATGAGGTGGTAAGAGCAGTATCCTTGTGGGAGAGATTAACGGAAGATAGGGAATAACTTCGTGACATTTAAAAACAACTAGCACGTTACAGAGCACAGTCTTCATTTATGTTTTCCCTCATTATTATTTATACTACTACTACGTATTATTAGCTTATTATTTTTACTACTACTACTACGTATTATTAGCTTATTATTTTTACTACTACTACGTAATATTAGCTGGAGGATTTTTTGTAAACTGTGATAGCATTTTGAATACAAAGCTGTGTAAGGCAGAATATCTGCCACAAAAACATGTGCCCACATGGGGATCCCTAGACCGCTGCAGGGGAGTGGGGGGGCTTGTATTACGCTCTGGGGGTACTTCATTGCAAATTAAAATTGCCCAGAATATATGGTGGAGGAGAACATCGCCGCACTGTTAGGAAACAATACATATGGATTCCTTGGAGAAAACAAAACAAAAACACGCTTTGTGTTGACACGCAATTGTAAGTTTACCCGTAACAAACTGCAACAATTATGTAAGTTTAACGATCCACGTACTAGTTACTTTGAAGTTGAGTAGAAGTCAGCTTTGGTCAATGGCTGAAGTTGCGCACAATAGTCGACTTTGAAGAGCTCGCAAAGGTCACCGCGACCTAAGGCTTTCAGCACTGGGGGTTAATCCTGGCCACCCTTGTATGACGCTTGTCTCCTGAGTGGCCAGTGACCCCAGACCCGGGGACAAGTCTAAACAAAAACCCAGAGCCAACGAACACATAAAGTAAATCGCGCGAACTTTTGGACCTTAGACAACGATGTCAAGCAGATCCCGGTGAAACGACATAGACGTCGGCACGCGTTTTTTTAATATTTCACGTCAGCATATATATGTACAGAGTGCTATGAAAATGTACGTTTGAAATATATTTGTATTGAATGAACACGGCGTAATAAGAGAGCGGAGTAGTAGATGTATTGTGCTGTCGTACGTAAAAAATACCACACAATGTATTTCTTTAATTTGAGTGCATGGACGGATCGCCGTAGGGTTAGCTCTCCGATGTGTTATCGAGTTGCACGCGTCTTGTATGGCATGATGTCAGATGTTTCGCTGAACGTGCTGGTAGCTTGTCCAGGGGGAAGCTTCTTCAGAAGAATCTCCCGGCAACTGGAGCCGAAACGTCGGACATTGGACCCGAACGACACGCGGAAAAATCTGAAAACCCACGAGAGCTTCTCCGACACAACCGCAAAAACCCACACAGTGCCATCGGGTTTTTTTTTTTGGTCTAAATTTAATCAACAAGTCCACATCACTCCTGAGCCAAGCAAGCATTTCGTAAAGGCTGCACGCACTTTCCTATTCTGGTGCAGACCACGGCCTGCAATCTGTCACTCTGACTGCCGCTGCGAATTCCTCCTAAGTGTGTACTCCACTGTGTGGGCCGACCTTATCAATCTGCAGCTAAGAGAAGTGGGGGGGAAGGATCTTTGGCTGGAGGCAGCTTCTTTGCCCCCATCACTTCCCCTGCCACCCCTACCCCCAGTACTTTTTTTTGTGTAGTAAAAAAAAACCGAATGAGATCCAGGCCACGGTAGCCACGTAGCCTTGCACGGTTCCACAGTGTGCAGCGGCTTAGCGTGGTTAGCATGGGCCCTGGTGCCAGGAATAAAATGAATCCACCTCCCCAAATGTACTTCTCTTCATAGCCATACACCTGGACCGCTGCAGCCTGTGGATCCCAACTCAGTTGCAACACCTGTGCACTCGATAGCTACACCAGTGCCAGTGAGGATTGCGCACCTATAGACGGTCACTGCAACGCGCACTTTCCAGGTGCGCTTCCGCGACCGTCTGGAACGGTCTTCCGATATTAGGAAACCATTGGAGCTGGGAAGTTTTTAATCGAGATTGAAAACTCATTTCTTTAGGACTGCTTTTTTCGTTTAGTTTGTCGTCCTTCCCCCGCACCTCCGATTGGCACGGTTGGTTACGTACGGTGTGAACAAATTTCAATGTACATACAAACCTTCGCTCCTGTACACACCTGCAGGAGAATGTGAAGTCAGATTGGTAAACTTCAGGAGCTGCTGTTAGTATTTACTTAATGCACAAAGGCAAACATGGGTATTGTACATGTTATTGTACATTGTTTGAAACTTTAAATTGCAGAGAAGAATCTGGAGAGGTTGATGGCAGGGTAACCGCACCGAGCGAACCACAATCCTACACTATCCCCAGGTGATCCCTATCATGGTGTTCGTTGTCCCGGTGCGGTTAGTTCAGAGGGCTTGAGGGACATGTGGTGAGATCCCATCTCGCCGGAAATAAAAATTTGTTCTGGGCAGAGGGTCTGCCAATTGGTTTTGCTGCCTGACAGTTTTACGATTCCCTCTCTTGGTAAGGCATTCAGAATGAGACTCCGGCATAACACAGACGGGCTAAGATTAATGTAGACTGTACAAAGCCGTCAAAAAAAAAACAAATGAGCCTACCAAGTGCTGTGAAATGCACGGTAAAATATTTTATACTGCAATATATAGAAGCTTGCCTTTTCGTAGAATACTCAGCACAAGCACACACATTATCAACACATTAACGTGGCATGAATAATTAAGAGCAATCTTGGCTTGAAACATTTCCCTACATGTATACTATTTTCGGTAGAATGCCTTGGAGCTGGAATAAGGGTGAAATTTTGTTTTACCCAATATATAAACAGACTACGTGCATGAGTGTTGCCACAGCTCTCCGAACATTTCAAACGGTCTTATCCTACTTTACCATTACATTGCTAAATTACACGAAGGAATATGGGCACGATAGAGAAAGCAGCCTGCACGCTTCCCTATTGTCATGTAATGCCCGCATTAACTCCTCCAAGCCACACATGGAGGGGGCACGCTTGTTAGTTTCACCACCCTCCCTGAAAGTTCGAGCATTAAAATCGAATGCCACTGTGAAAAGAATGACAATGGGGGCAAACTGTAATCGATTTGACGTCTTTACATTTTTTGCGTCCCTTCCCACGGGTGATGGAACAGAAGTACTGTAGTCAATTTGCTGAAACGATACTTTTCTTTATATTTATTAACATTTCTGTCTTTCTCTGCTCTGATGAAAATAGGTCTCAAAGGTGTGCCCTTGCCTATGTTCAGTATATTCAGTGTATTATATATTAAATATATTATATATTAAGTATATTATATATTAATTATATTATATATTAAGTACTGCTGCAGTCCAGTCGGGGTGGAGAGAGAGGGAGGGAGTTTTGTTTCTCGCAGCACAAGACATTGATCACTGGGGGCCTTTGTGTTACAACAATGCGAAACAAATGGGACCGCAGCTTATTGCGCTAATTCAGTTTACGTTGGGGAAGATTCAAAACCGACGCCAAGCGGTTGCGCAAGCATTTGCGGTGAACTTTCACAGCAGCGCGAAATCAATGCCAGCAATGTAATATTGCGATTGGTTCCAATAGTGTAGAAATGCTGCATTAGTGTGTTTTGCCCAGTATTTCTTTGATGAACTAGCATTCCACGCGATGTTCCTACATTATCGGAGAGAAGCGCATGGGCGCTTAGTCCTCTGCAATGGACGCTTACGAACACTTTGAAAGTGAAACTTTGAAGAATGCGTGAATTAATGAGCTGCTTGGAACAGCAAATGCTGTTGCATCTTCCAACACCCAGAGGTGCGCGTTTGTCGCCTGCAAATTTAAGTGCCGCATACTTTCCCACCGTTCATCCATTGGCGCTTTCATTTCCACTCGTTCTCACGTTGTCGCTGAAACGAAATAAAACGCCGCTGACTTGTGCCAGCCACGCCAAAAGCCCCTCGCGTTGGAACTCACGTGATCGCGTTTCTTCTCCTACCGCAACGTGGATTATGTGTGCGTAATGAGGTGAATAAGCTAAGATAAGACATATTAGCCACTGCCCCTCCTGGGTTTAATGAGCGCGCAGTCCTTGCCATTGTAAAACAAAAAAAACCCGTTGATGGGGGTGGATGATTAGGTTGGGCTCCCAGGCAAAGGGGATGGGGGGGGGGGTTAAGTGCTTATCTGTGCCCCAGGCAAAGCATCTTTTCCAGGCCCCTCCCAGCAGTAGAGAGAAGGAGGGAGGGGTGTGTGTGGGGGGGTACTCTGATGTCACAAACCTGCTCGGCTTATTTAGCCTGCGCACTCTCTCTCTCTCCCTCTGTTGTGTCCTCCCACAGAGTTTGGAGAGAAGCGGAGTGAGTCCCTCGCCCAGCAGTGCTGTGCCGTTGCTGACACTCGACACCCGGGTCGTCGTCGCCGCCGCCGCCGCCGTGTGACAGCAGAGGAGCCAGGGTCTGGTTTCTGAGCCAGGGTCTGGTTTCTGAGCGGAGAGAAAAGTTGTTTTTAACTGCCCCAGCTGACAATCTGGAGTTTGGACCTGTCTGCTGTGCTGGAGGAATGCAACATGTGCTAAAAGAAAGTTAGTTTTAAACTTCTTCTCCCTCTTCTTCTTTGACGAATGTACACGAAGGTATTTATTATGAAACTACTAACAGAGATTGATTGTACATTCAAGATCAACAATACATATTTACCTGCTTTGCATTGAGAAGAACTCAAACTTGGAGAAGTTGTGGACTTTTTTGTTTGTTTAGAAAGTGCCAAAGTTTTTGTTTTAAGTTGAACCCCCCCCCCGCCCCACCAAAGATCAAAAAGTGTTCTCGCTGAAGATTCCACACACTGCTCCGCTCGACAAGGATACAATTTAAAAGCTGCAACCGTCTTTCAATGAAAGAAATGCACACAGAAGTGTTTCAGCTGGAACAGCCTGAGAACCAGTTGATGGTGCCGTCACCTCTGCCCGTGCGCATTCTCAACAAGGGACCCGAGTATTTCCGCCAGCAGAATGAGTTCTCCAACTGCGGCGGTCTCAGCGCTCGGGAGCGACTCGCGGCCGACAAGTACAAGTACGTCAAGAGCTGCAACGGAGCGCCACCGAGTCCCACGTCCGACGCCAAACCGGTCTTGTCTGCCAACAGCTGCGCGCTGAACTGCGACAACAACAACACCTCGCAGGCAGGCTGCAACGGGCTGGTCAGCCTGAACAATGCTCGCAATGACTGGGAGAACTCACCGCGGCCCACCGCCACGCTGCACCGGAGCGGCTCCAAGCGCCAGCAGCCGAGGCCCGACTCGCTGCTCATTTACCGCCGCCGCAACGAAGAATTGACCATCGTCAAGGACTCGAGCGAAACGGCCGACGGCGGCGGCGGCGGCGGCGGCGGTGGCCGCGGCAAAAACGGGAACAGAAACGGCGGCGGTGGCACCGCCACGAGCTTTCTGCGACGCTTGCTGCAGGCTGCGCACATGAAGGAGAGACTCAGCCCAAGCAACAGCAGTGCCGAGATCCAGGCGGGCAACCCCGGCAGCAACGACGAGGACCAGCGCAGCGGCTCGTCGCCGTCCACTTCGCCTCCGTTGAGCCCGACTTCCGAGGCTCCCAAGGGGCCCTTGAGCCCGGTGATCATCCACACAAGTTCAGAAGATGACGACAACCAACCAAAGAGCCCCAACAGTTCCAGCGGTGGGCATCTCCAAGACCAGCCGTCCCCGTGTTACCCCCCTGATTTGGTGGACGAGCTGGGGAGCGTCATCCGCAAGCTGGAGCGCTCGCCACGACGCGTCACGTCCCCGCCGGCGCGACTCCCGCCCGGCGCGAAGAGCCGGGCGATTTACCGCTCCAAGTCCGACCTTACGGCCCGCTGCTCCCGCTCGGCCTCCGACAACGAGCGCTTCTTCAACTTCTGCGGGCTTGAGGCTGAGGATATCGAGGCATTCGCGGAGGGGCGAATGTCCTGGGCCAGCCCGGACGGGAGCAACCGCGGCTCCTTCCACTTCCGCAGCGTGAGCATGGTGGAGCTGGAGGAGCCCGACGCGGAGGAGATGTCTCGACGTAGCGAGAAAGACCCCAACGAGGACGACGAGGAGGACGACGGCTCCGCCAACTTGCCCACCACCTCCGTGTCGATCATTGAGCGCAACGCCCGCGTCATCAAGTGGATTTATGCCTGCAGACGAGCCCTCGGAGCGTTGAAAAAAGACTGATTTTATTTTTGTTTGCGACAAAACTGGTTGGGCTTTTCGGAGTTTTTTTTTTCTTCTTCTCCTGCCACCTGCATACCCGTCTGCCGGAAACGTTTTTGTTAGTTGTTTCAAGAATGTGTAATTTATTTTCCATTTCTGCTATTTTTGCTGCCAACTGAGACTGCAAGGACATTACAAGTGATTTTCATTTGGAGCGTGATGCATGTGTGGAATGCCCTGCTTCTGATCTACCTTCCTACGTGCAGGACCACAGTTTTAGGCTTAGACTCTCAATATGCTACTTTGAGTAATTAATAGCACTTTTGATGACTGGCATTTTCAAGTAGCTAGTAATTAATGTCTTCAAGTATTAAATAATGTGTTATGTTTGGAAAAAAGTGTCGATTTGTGTTCATTTTTATTTTATTTGGCCCAGACTGAAGTGTTATTTTTACGTGACCGTTCATAAAACCAAGAGTTGCGTCACATGGTATTAACCTAGCATTCAACAGTGGTCATATAGTAATTGTGTGTGTGAAGAAATTATCCTCTAGATAAAACACACAGATTATAACCTATTCAAATGTAAGCAACAAAACAACTATCCTGAACATTTAAAAAAAATCGTCGAATCCTTGGTTGCCGTTAGTCTCAACGTACTGCATTGCAGTAGGGCTACCGCGTGACACTGGGCTCTGTAAGAGGTAAAAAAAGCAAGTCCGGGCAAATTTCAAATGTTGTATCGTGTAATTTATTATGCAACAAATTTTATTTTTTGTGACATACAAAATATATATTTGACCAAGAGTTTATGAAATATTTAACTTTGATTTCTATTTCCTTGATTGTTGGAGCTGAGTTTCAGTATGTGGATAGCCATACTCAGCGTTTATAGTATTGACTTCATGTGACCCCCCTCGTATCAAACGGAGCATTGGGCCAGTCATTCGGCCACACACGCAGCGGGGACCGTGTGTGTCCGACACTGTAGCTGTGAGTGCCGCTGAGTAGAGGCCGACGTCTGTGTACACACACATTGTGCTGTAAGTAGGCAACCAGACCGTGGTTTCCTCAAGTGTGTGTGTGTACATTACCGCCGACGTCCTTTGACAAATCCGGGTCATTTGAGTTGCATTGCGTGGTCGTGTTTCCGCGAGAGGGAAACAGATGCAAGTGCATCGACACCCCCCCCCCCCCCCACAAGCCCCCTGCCTTTTAATCGCTGATGTGTGTTAACAGTAAAATGCAGCTATGCCTTTACAGCGAGGCACCATACAGGCACAATAGATGCAATGCATTTCAGGCTGATTATTGTCACCACTACCATTCATTCCAGGACAAGTGACTTGAAAATGCTGCTTTTTTTGGTTAACCTAATTACTGTGTGTACAGCTGCGCTTTTTAAATGTATAAAGGATGAAAACAATAAAAGTTACGTCTCGTACATGTGTACAATGAGTGTGTATACATTATTTAGCGGGTCTTTTTTGTTTATAGAGCTGTGGTGATTTGGATAAACGAAATAATGTGGACATGTTTGGTAGGTTTTGTAGATTTTTTTTCACAGACAAATTGTTAGATAGATTCTCACAGATAAGGGAGTGACAATTAAAATGTTAACTAATATGTTCTGGAGGAATGTGTGGCTTGGGTGTAACTGTATGCAAGTCTGTATCTAGCTCGGGTGAAGGACAGACTTGTTTTGTGGCTATATATGGGCTCCGTGCCACGGACGTTCCTCAATCTGTAACGAAGAAAGGGCATTTCTCAACATATTTTCTGTTTGCAAAATAGACGTTTCGTCAATGGCTGACGGTACTTGAGGCAGGTGCAAACACGGTGATGTATGAATGTCACTCAACCAAATATTCGGTTCACGTTGTCTTACGTAGACGTGACTCCACCATCCGAGGCGAAGCGATGATATTCCTGCATGTGAAGGAGCTTTTCCCAGGACGGCGAGAGACAGCCAGCAGTGGGGTGGATCGTGACTGAGGATTATGATGATGTGGTGACATTACCAAAGAGCTGTAAAGATAGTGGTGGTTACGATTACATTCGTTTTCTAAACGACCTCAGTGTGCTGTAATAAAACGTAACAAGTATTTTAAATACATTCAAAACATTCGTCAATGTGATAAGAAGATGGACCACTGCCAGAAATATATATTACAGTCGTATTAAGGCGCTGTTATTGATTTACGTGAGTTTTTTTCTTCCATTTGCAGCATGATTGAAATATAGGTTCCAAAGATGATGCATACTTACGTAAGAATAGCATTGATTTGCATAACATTGTTTCGGATAACGGTTGTTACCACAGCATTATGACAGACTGTTTCACAGAAATTGTCAATGCTTTCATATATTACCACAATGCTTAATGAAATATGCATGAGGGTAATCATTCTGCAGTGTTGAAAGCGCACTTCTGTAAGCCAGTGGCATCATGCCACAAATACGTACGCACATTTACATTACGGGGATGATGCCCTATCTGGCCATTGAGGCCAAAGGTTGCCATCTGGATAGCCCAGCCTGTAAATGTGAAGAGGTGTAAAAGACCATGATGCATATTGTGGAGGAGGAGGAGGATTACCTTCTCATCAGACTGGAGGAAGGACTGGGAGCACTAAACACTGCAGACGATAACGCTATGAATTGGTTACGCTAAGTACGCACCCGCTAGAAAGAGAAAGGGGAGCGGTGGTGCAGTGGTTAATGCACTACATTATTAAATCGGTAACCTCTTCCCTCTTTACCAATCTGCACAAGCCATTTTGGTGAAGTATGGTCAATAAAATCCATAAATAACACAGGTTAGGGAGGCCTTCATTCTAGCAATGTATTGACAAAGTACTCGATTATATGATTATTCTTGTATACTTAAAGCACCTGCTTACAGTACATACATTCATTTATATTTACATTTTATTATCCTTTTAATACTGCTCGGCAGTGTAATACGACACTAATGTGACGTCCTATACTCACAATTTATATGGGAAAAACAATACCATCACATTTTACAATTAACAAAGCGGTCACCTTTTTTTTTGCTGCTTCGGATTGCCTGTGCTGCAACACACATTGCTGTGGCATTTGGCACGGGTCACCGGTAATCCACAGGCAGTGTTTGTGCATGCGAAGGCAAGTGGAAAGTTCCACTGCTGCAGCCAGGAGACAAGCAGAGACAAAGTCACTTAAGAGGGTCTCGGGAGGGGGGGAGGGTGCTCTGCAATGGAGCGGCCTTGGCCGCCTTCTTGTATGCGGGCAAGGGCAAGTGCGGCGATGTTGAGAATGACTGTGCAGGCAACCACGTGTGACAAGCAAGGCATGGCAGGCCAAGTGTACGTAAGAAACCTTTGGAATTAGAAAAGGAACAACACGTAAACAAAACAAAACAAAAAAATCTTCATTTGCACAGCTGGTCACGTTGGTATAACAAAATTGTGGGAGAAATGAAAATATCGATTTTTACTGTCACGCGACCACAAACATTGCCCTCTCTGGCAGGGCGATTGGGAAAGTGCTGCCCCCCCTACTGTGTGGACCAGAGGTCACTTGAAGGAATTTCAGCAGTAGTTCTGGGATAATCACTTCTGCAGGCTGTTCGCTAACACAAGGGGGGTTGCACTGTTTAGTGAAAAATGGCGTGCGATGTGATGCAGATGGCACAATGCAGATAAAATTGGGAGGCGGGGGGGGTGTGGAGGGAATATGCTATTTTTTTTTGTTACAAATCTGTTTATGTATGGGGACATACACTAACATGATGTAGTGTTTGACTATTGCAGTAAAGGTTGATTTAAAAAAAAATGTTGGACTTAATATAATGTTATTGCACCAAATAAGTGCAATAAAAACGACTGCGCCAACAAATTAAGTTGCATGAACGCATGCACTTCGTATAATAGTACTGTGGCTTTTATTGCCTTTTATTACGTCCGGTGGCAGCATTCACGTGTGTACATCGACCAGATATTATAACTTACGGGATTATGTTGATTCTGCTCAGAACAACCGGCTAAAATTGCATTGCCAATTCTCTACGCAATACATGGCAACGTTTATTACTGGGTCCGTAAGGGTGCATGTCATCACGCACTTCATTCAGTCGTTCCGATCCAGCGACCACCATCACCGTTACCCGCACGTGTTCGAGCTGAAGCACACAGGCATCTCTTGGTCATCGTTTTCTTTGTTTGTTGTAGCTGCTTGATTATTCTACGCCACCCGCCGTGCACCCAGAATCGAATTCGGTGGTGTAACAATGAGGTGTGTGTGCTTTTAATGTTTTGCATCGGGATGTGCCGTGGTGTGAGATCACCTCGGAAAATTCGTTGTGCCATTTTTGCCACCGCAGTTTGCATAGATTATTTCCACACTTGCCACCTGTGCTCAATTCCCAATTAACACAAAATGTTGGACCGCTGTCAGGCCAACGTTGGTCCAACAACGGTTCCCAAGCACATCTGCAAGGGTTATAACTAACTTTACCTATTGATAACGGTCTAGAATTTGCTGCACGGGTGAATGAGAGCTAATGATGACAATCGAGGTGATCGTAAACTTGAACGTAAAATATATTCTGAAAAAAAACATTTCCTTTGTGAGACAGACACGTGATCAGCTTTCAAGGCGCCATATGGGCAGCAGAGTTGAGTGTGCTTGCATTGCATCTGCCGTTGTATAAAACAGGTCCTGTGGACATTATATGGCACAGGTTAACATATGTTCGTTTTTTTGCTCACTCGGTCTCCTATTCATCGTTGTTATTAGGCTCCCTGCTGCATGTACGTCTGGAGAGGCAGGGGTTCGTGGCGAATGGGCAGAGGGGGGAGGTGGGGGGGCTGATCATCAGTAACACTACCACATGCTTTGCTGCCCAACTAATGACTTTGCCAGACCCTAACGACAGCTCTGGGTAGGATTAGGCAGGACGGGGAAGCGGGAGGCTGTTTGGGATGATGCAGAGAGTGATCGGATTACTCTACACGGAAAGATAAAGGCTAATGAGTGAAGATGGAGCCTGGAACGGAGCAGGGCTTGACAAAAAGGAAGAAAAAAAATAACAAAAAGAAAACAAGAAAGACATTAAAGCAGATTGATGTGGAACAGCTGCTGTTAGAACACAGCGCACAATCTTAACAAATCCAAAGCAATGCATCGTATTTTGTTCTAAGCAAACAGAAGTGGTGCTGTACCTAATTCAAACAAAATGAACTACTTTCGATAAACAAATGTAAACATAACATACTCTGTTGAAATAAAATACTGAACTTTTTTACAAAGAAGTAGCGTGCGGTTTCTAATTGCATTATTAAATGCAATATAAAATGAAAGCAATACCGCATTTCTAGTTTTTCAAATGGTACATGCAGAGTTCAAGCTAAGAAATGTGTGTTTCTTGAGTGATGGGACAGAGTTCACCTGTCGGTGGCACTAAGAAAACCGTGACAATTCTATGTTCCCATGACGGTAGCCACAATTAGAACAGTTATTTCCCCCGCCTCCAACCCAGAACATCTGGCAATGATTAGAAAGTGGAAATTCTGCAGGAAAGTGTGACATGACCTCTTCCAGGTTCTAGGGTTGTAAGAAGGCCCATCGCTCTCGATTCACATGTTCTGCAGCCATTGAGGACACGCAAAAACCCCCACATTGTATACATAGCTTGTTGGGCAAGTGCTGTTAGCGAGCACCCATTAAGGCTGGTGTGGCACATGGGAAATGGTGTGGCCATGAGCCACACCCCGTTGGCTTTGTCTTCCCAGTTCTCATGTTTACACCCTGCACCAGAATTACTCATTCGAGGCTGAGTCGACCTAGGGGAGGCCCCTGGAGCGGTTCAGATGATTGTCACTGCTGTTGACCGTGAGCAGGAATCGAATCCGGGTTGCCGGGTTCGTACCGCAGTACGCTAACCGCTGTCCTACGTCTCCCCACCAAATGTGACTACACACACGCACTCACATACTCTAAATATATCGTAAAATTCTGAAAACAAAAGATAGCCCTCAATGTAGTGTGAACCTATATGTTTTAACCTTACCAAGAGAACATTCCTTTTGGGGATATTAGTTGAAGTATTTAACTTTGTTACGGGATTTCAAACGATGCCACCCTATGTTTTGGGTGCAACAAATAACATAATTCGATTAATGTATATTTGGGCATATTAAAAGTTACTTTTGACATGTACAATTAGTGGTTTCCATTATACAGCATCTCTAATGCAGACTGCATGACAACTAAGGGACATTATTATTATCATTAGACTT